AGTAAAGAGAAAATGAAATAACATACCAAAAATTCCCAAACTGCTGCCTATTAGAATTACCTGAAGGGTTTTTAAAACCCCTGAAGTTCAGGCCAAACCTAGGGCAATTAAATCAGAATCTTTGGTATTGGAACATAGATATTGGTATATTTCAAATTTTTCTGGGTAATTTCAATGTCCGTCCAAGTTTAAGAAACACTGAATTCTACATTTTAATTTTTGTTTATAAAACAGCTCGTAAAAAATATGTCAAGTATAATTAACGTATAAGGAAATGTACCTATTTAAGTGTATGAATTGATACTTTTGTTATACATGTGCACCTGTGAAACCATTAGCATAATCAAAATAATAAACATGTCATCTCCAAAAGTTTCCTCACATCCTTTTAAATCCTTGCCTCCCTGACCTTCCCCTGTGCTCTATCTTTGTGTCATTATAGATAAATTTGTATTTTCTAGATTCTTGTGTAAATTGAATCTGTATGTATGTATATTTTTCTGGCTTCTTTAACACAGCATATTTATTTTGAAAGTCATTCATGCTGTAGCATTTATCAATAGATCATTCATTTTAATTGCTGAATATTATTTCATAATCTCTGTAACCTATTTGTTTATTCTCTTACTTTTGCTTATTTTATACAAATTTGCTGTTAACATTCATCTCTACAGGTTTTTTAATGGACAAATGCTATCATTTCTCTTGGGTAAATACCTAGGAGTAGACTGGTTGGATCATCTGATAGGTCTGTGGTTAGCCTTTTAAACCTCTGCTAAGCAAAACTTTTCCTATGTGTTTTTACCATTTACAGACCCACCCATGGTATATGAGAATTCCAATTTTCTGCATAGTCACTGAGACTCGGTGTGGTCAATCTTTATAAATTTTAACAATTCTAATCCTCTTTCTATGTACTGTACCCAAGTCACTGTGAAAAATGAGGGTTCCCAGTGGCTGGAGGGAACAGGCAGTATTCCTGACTCCTGTCTTCTTAAGTGGTGCTTTCCTTGACAGATGGTTTCCTTGCATACATGCTCACTGAGTACTGCCTACGTTGTTCTTCTCTACACCCTGGGAACTCTTTAAGGCAGTTATCTGAGAAGTAATAATGTGCATGTTGTTTGTTTCCAGTCTCTCAGAGATCATTGCCCATTCTTGCCTGATACTTACCATCTTGTAATGTGTTGTTTCATACATTTTGTGCATTTTTGGGGTGTTTCCAGAACAGGGATAAAATCAATATCTTTTACTCCATTTTTTCCAGAAGTGGAAGTCTCAATACAATTAATTTTGACAAGGCTGGGTGCAAAATCCAAAGCCACTCAATGCCCTTACTGCAAGAACATAACTTAATATAGTAGTTCGTTTCTGAATTATTTATCTTGAATGAAGCGCATGTGAAAAGTCTGTTTTGTTTATAATTTGATTTCAAAATAAATGTTTAGTTTTAATTCTTTTAAATGTTTCATAAAGATGATAGGGACTTAGAAACATGGTTATCTGGTTTGGAGGCGCATTTTCTCATCATTTTTTGCAAGAACCGAGTGTGTTAAGAGTTATTAGATGTATATGCACAGGTCCTTCTCCTAACCTGTGTGTTTTAGACATAAAACAGCCTTAAGAACACCAAAAAATCCAGATATATGTTACTTCTTTCACTTGGACATATCTAATAACACACATTGGCATTATTTTTACACTGAAGACAAGAAATAATCACATATGGCAGAGTGATAACCTGAGGAAGCCGTTTGAGGAAACTACATCTAGGGTGCTTTTGTCATTGTGCAGTAAATACATCTCTTCTTTTCTCAACAGAGAAAGGTACATTTAAGGACAGGGATGACTCACAAAGAATTCACTTAATAACTTATGTAAGGAAGGTGAAAAAGTGAGCTTGCAAAGGAGACTATTGCCTTAAAGAAGAATATAAGAAATACAATCTACTAGGATGAAATGTCTTTTAGTTTTTCCTCGGGCTAAGACAAAATGTAGCTACTTGTTTTATACCTTGAAAATAAGACTTCCTTTTCCTTATTGGTTGGAACTCAACATTCTCTTTTAACATAAATTTTCATATTTAAATATGTAATACTTTGTTGATGGATAGAATCAGATATAAGGGAGCAGATTTTTGCCAAAGGAACAAGCCAACCAATCCAGGATCATCTAGAAACAAAATCACCTAGACGCATGATTTAGGGAGTACTCAATTTAGTTTCTTATGGACCATCACTGCTTGTGACAAGAGGAAATTAAAGTTTCTATATTATATTGAAAAGGACATGTACGTACATGTAATTATTCCCTTTATAGTTTCAGTGATGTGTTTGTATGGAAAATAACTGGTCTTATCATATGATAAAAATTAATATTTAAGTACATTAATGTTTCCTTTCATGACTATTTTTATTTTAGTACTTAAAAGTATTGGAATTAGGAATTTTTGCAATTAAATAATTTAGTGATATTTGCGCACATTTAAATGCACTGACACTACACTTTCAAACGCTATGATGCTAGGAATTCTCATTTAAGGTGAAATAATTAAATAGAAGGTCCTACATTGTTTTTCATATAATTGAAAAATGACTCAACCCCTTGAAGTTAAATATTATTCATAATAATTGTATTAAAAAATTGTTTAAGAAACATTTACACAATACCCAGTATGAACCTCAGACTGTATACTGATTTGAGGTTACAACAGAAGTAGGAGAAAAGCTGTTCCTTTCAAAAAAACTTCATCAAAGAATCTGCATAAGACTGTACATCAGATCATCTAGAACATTTATTAAAAAGCAGATTCCCAGGCCCCACATCCTGAAATTTAAAATCTACTAGTCAAGGATAAGGCCTAAAACTCTCCATGATAACAAGCTCCTCCAGTGACTCTGATTTCTAGGAGCGCATTTTAAAAAGATATGTGGAGAATAGGTTAATCAAGACTTTATTTTTTATCGCAGATTCAGCAAATAAAATGGTTATTCAGGTTTTACCCTGCCCAAGAGTTAGGGAAGGAGGGTGTGAAAGGGAGTGACCTCCAGCCTCAATTATGACTCCCTGCCCTCCAAATCTCCAGCAATAGCCCTGCATACAGGGTTGAATCTGCAAAGGTGGCACCTTGTTCTCCTATCCTAGAGGGACTTTAGTGGGATTTAAGTGGCATTTTTTTAAGAGCCTTATGTTTTTCTGAACCTATCAGGCAATTTTAGACCAAGACCCAGCAGCTATTATGGAGAAAATGTAGACTTTCTGCTTCCAACATAATAAGAAATAGATCTTCTTAAACAGTACCCACATTTATTGATTTGTAGCCACAGTCAGCTCTTCAAGAGAAATCAGGCGTCAAAGAAAATGGACAATTTGTACTTAAATCAAGCTTTGAGGCCAAGTTTGCTACCTTCTTTATATATTATGCCTAGTCACATGAACAATGTTGAACAAAATGCCTGCAATGGGTCCCCCTATTCATAAAAACAAGCTGTTTTCCTAATAAAAATAATTTAATGTATTGTATGTGTAATTATATATGTAGGACAAGATTCTGCTTTTAGAAAAATCTGGTATGCTGCTTATGGAATTTTCTCAATATTTCATCTGGAGTTTCTTCAAAATATAAATATATTTTCTCAATATTTCAGTGGAGTTTCTTCAATGTTCCTGTCCTATTAGACAGAGGGCCACTTCTCACTTAATTCTCCTGTCAATCACCCATGATTTAACCCTGAGCCATTCACGTAAGCTTGGCTCTTCCTTCACTCTTTTTCCAATTTTCATTCAGCAGCTCATATGTCAACACCTAAATAAAGCCCTTAACACCTCAAGATATAACCACAGACCTCTAGTTGTTCTTGTTGTCTCTATGATTTTCCATACCACAATACATCCCATGTGTAATAGCTTGATAAATCTAACACGTGATTATACAATGTCGCACTCTTCCTTCGAGCAAGTTTTGAAGTCTTCTCTAATGCTCCTTCTATCTGTATTTCCTTTTAGATGTATGTAATCCCATATTACAAGAATATTACATGTATTCCACCTTAATCTTATTAAGGTGTTTCTAAAATATTAATGTTTAAATGTATTGACTTAAAATGCCTGAAAGATTTGTAAGCAAACTTAGCAAGGAAAAAAAGAGAGAAGCACTTTAAAGGAAAATACTACACAAACTATGACAAGTTAATGCAACAAATTGTTATTAAGGGTGGCATTTTATTTGCCACTTTTCTAAAAGAGCAGGGTAGAGACATTACTTCTTGGTGACCTTTAAATCCCCATGTGTAAAGTCTCTGTTCTAACACTCTAAGAGGCTATTTCCTATATGATGTTGGTTTACAAAGGAAAACAGACAGCTGTTCAGCTGTTCAGCAGCCTCAGGTGTCTCTGTGGGACATCTTGAGAAAAAAAAACTATTGATTCCCTGCTGGGTATAATTTTATGAGCTTTGTGGGAGAATTTCTTTATGATCCTTTTCTCTCTTATATGTTCACTGATGATTGTTTTGAAAACCAAATTTTTATGCTATTTTTTAGAAATACTAAGCCTTAACCAACATAGAATTTCAGAGCCATATGGGACATTTTGCACCTATCCACCAGCCTTCAAAGCACATCTTTCTATGATGATATTATCAATAATGCCACATTATAGAAAAATACACTTTATGATGGCTTGCTTTACATATGTTTTGCAATGTGTTCCAGATGTAACAACTGAAATATATATTACTGTTGTTTTCATGCTGCCATTGAGCACCCTCTGGACTTCAGATTGGGCAAGGAGGACACCATTCCATTCCAAGTTTCCTTATAACTTTTCTTTAGCCCATGATTGTCCTCACCCTCCTGTAAGGACCAGTTCTCTATTTTCACTGTAGTTTCTATGAATTTTTGTGCTGGCCAAACATTTTTTGCCTTTAGTGTATTAATTTAATTTCTCTCACTAAGTTACATATATACCGAGGGCATTATGCAAATGCAAACAAGCAAAGGTAAATTGAACTAATACTTTATTAAAATCAAACAATATTTACCAGCCTTAAAATTGTATTCAATAACATTATAAAACTATCCATCCTTCTTTATGAAGTTTCAGTTAATATCTGATTAAAAAGCATTTGGTTTCATAAGTGTCCAGTGATTTATGAAACTTTTAAAACAAATTAAGATAGGATTGATTACATCTTATAGCCACTATTGGACCCATTCTACATTTTGAAAGACATGAGAGAATAGGGTAAGCAATTCAACTTCCCTACTCCTAGAAGTTTTGCTAACAGGAATTGTAACTAGGAATGCCTCACCTGAAAAACTAGTTTCATACTACTTTCATTGTAGTTTGGCAATTCATGATGTACAAATACTTCCACAGGGTGGTAGAATCATTTATAATCAGAAATGAAGGTGGGTTGTAAAGGGTATCAAGAGAGGAGAAAACAGGGTTAGTGTTGTTTCTTCACCCCTCCCCATGAGAAAAATCATGTGAAATAGTTGCAGGACCCATGAAAGGATTTAATATATAATATTTCCATATTATAACAATATGATCCTATGTGGGAAAAAAATCATAGTACCTGAGTGCAAGCAGTATTCACTGGATTATTTTATCAATTTACATGACTGATATTTCTGTTTTCTATTCAGGTGACATATTTGTTTGATAATGGTGGGACAGTCTTCTTTGCTATTTTTATGGCAATATGGGGTAAGTACGTTCTTCATTACCTTCTAGCCCTTATTTTCTGAAGCTGTCTCTGTGTTTCTATGCATGCAAACACACACGCGCGGGCGCACGCGCACGCGCGCGCACACACACACACACACACACACACCATGAATCAATTCAACAATAAAGCCCCTATGTTGGTACTTGCTTTGTTTGCCCTCTCCTGCTTCTTTGGGGATTTAGCTCTTGATCTCATTCTCTAATCTCTAAAACCTAGACTTCCTACATCAAGGAACCTATTTTTCCTACCAAAGGTAGGTGATAATTAAAAACAAACTGAAACATACTAGTCTCCAAATTAAGGTTATATTATTGCTTGTGAAAGTGATGCTCAGCAAAAAGTTGTGTGTTTGATATTTCCATTCATCTTTTTTTAACCTTATGCTTCGCACATTTAGAGATGCAGAATCTATTCCATATATGATTGAACACTAATATATAATATGTAAGAAATCCTGTTCCCTTCTAACAACTTCAAACTGTACAAATTATGTACAGGTATATTCTTTGGTTAACTTTTTCTTTTTACCATGATTCTCATTGAGTTTTTAAGGCACCCAATAATTGAAGCCTAAGGTATATTTAGACAAGTTAAAATTCCTAGACCTTTGAATACTTTTAGAGAAGCTATTACTTTCCTGGGTAGGGTCAGCTTCCTTGCCATGGCCCTATTGAATGTTGTCATTATCAGCTTGGCAGCTTAAGGGGCTGATCATATGCATGCTGATAGAAAAAATCATAATGTACTAAAATACAGGTCTCTCATTTATATTGCCTCAATTTCCCAGTAATAGAAACTCTGGGCTATGTCCTCTTTTTAGCTTTAAGTCAAATTTTTTTTTAAACACCCTTTCAATTTTCCTCTAAGAAAATCCAATCCTGAATTACGGCACTAGGGCTTCAGGCAGAGCAGTAAGGAGTCAACTTCATTTTTTTTTTTTGTCCAAAATAAATGTAGTTTTATAAATTTTTCATAGAATAATTTTTACTATTAAATTATCAGGCAGGGCTATCATGGTGAAATATTTTTTAGTTTTATCTGATCTCACAAATATTTTCTAATAAGAAAATAATACTAAAATACAAATTAAGGCTACAGAATGCTTCAGGATGGCCAAAAATTGTAAAAAAGGAAACTTTTGGATGATACATCCTGTCTACATTTCTTTGCTACTGGTCTCTTGCTTTTATGATTCTCCTTGGCAAAATTCACATGACAGTAATCTTGTGTAACTTTTTAAAAGATAAATTTGTCAAAAGGCCAGGATGTAGATGACACTTGCTGTTTGACACCTTTTTCCTGTTAGTTTTATACTGACGTACGAAGTGGAGGTATGTCATCCATAGGAATGCCGTCATGTGCATTTTCTTGACATTTTGGCATGGCTGAATCATTCAAAGTTGGATTGTAGTAGCTAGAATTCCCAAAACTCACGTCATAAGGTTCCGGTGCATTGTCTAATCGCAGAACTAAAAAAGTAACAAAATAATATTGTTTCACAGTGATAGTCTGAAAGATTCGTGTTCAGGCATTCAGTAAGTTATAGGTATTATTCTAGGTGAGGAAATAAAAGGAATTTTTTTAAGGGCTTTTTAGATTTTAGTTTAAAATTTTTAAATACATAGATGTATTTCAAGCTTCATTTTTTATAAGACTAAGAGAACAGTTTTACTTCCGAAATTTTATTGTTGATGGACTCAAAATAAAGGAACTAAGGAAGAGACCGCTGTAGTATATCAATACCTTGTATAAAGAAGTGTAGACAATGCCTCATTGACTTTTGAATCTTGTGATTTCAGAGCCTTGTAAACATGTTCATAATTTGTCATTTCTGGTGTAAAATTTTTAAGTGAAGTCAGTAATTTTTAATTAATGTTATTATTTTACCAAATATCTTAATATCTTGATGGCTAACCCATGTAAGGTGGAGATAAAAAGGAAACATTTGTGGGAGGTTATATTTTCTTCTAATTGATTCAAGTTACCATGTACTTGAGGTTTTCTGATTGTTAATGTGGACGTTTAGTTTTGTTTTTAAACAAATAGTTATTTCCTAATGATCTTGAATTCACTTTCAAAGAAAAATTGGACATTTCAAAGTAAACCAGACTTGGTATCTTAAGGAACTACAAGAAGTGACTAATTATTAATTAAATGGTAATTTATTCACTTAGGTATTATTTGCTTATCTATTTATTCATTTAGCCATCTGTTTACAAATTGGCTCTCAGGAACCTTAGGTCTTTGGGAGATATATCTCAAGACTGTCTTTGAGGGGCAAAATATTTGTTGTGATTGAGTTATTCCTTTATGCCTCCATCACAGCAGTTTAGATTTTATCAATTTTATTGAGATTTTGCATGAGATTACATGTAAAGACAAGATTCTAAAGTTAAAATATGTTTGAAAACCACTGTTATAAATCCTATCCTTTAATTTTGAGGAATGGTACTTTTTGTTTTATATGAGTTCCTAGAAGCCCATAATCAGAATTCAGTGACATTTCTAATTAACAGATTTGATTCTGAATATAAGAAATATATCAGCCATATCTGAACTCATCAAACCTTAAATTCAGTAAGACTTCACCAATGAGACCCATCAAAAGCACTTAACTGTTTCTTATGGTGACAAGAATCTTTTGTGCAAACCAGAAAACAGTTGGTTTTTTTTCCCTGAAGTATAAAACTACAGATGAAACAGGCATTAGATTAAATATCAAATTGATATTATGTTATTAAAGCACAACTGAAAAATTTATTTTTAGTATATCTATTTCTCATTCATAGATATTATGGTTGGCCTTTTCCATCATATAAGTGGAAAATTTCTGAATTAAGGTACATTGTGACTTTATGTGTGCAAATTTGAAACTTTTAGATACTTTATTTTAGAGACTCATTAAGATGATTAATGGAGGGCTGCTGTATCTGTAAACTTTAAAAGAGCTTCAAATTAGAATCAATCTTTGTTCAAATTACTGCTACTTAGTGATCTAACAATGGCAAGGAATAGCTTTGTAGTCACTTGCTAACAAAACTGATCATTTTTTCCTAATGTCATGCCATTCATTATCTTCCAATTTTATACACATGTTTTAGATTCCTTGGTTATTATTTAAAATGAATTTTGAGGCAATGAGCAACAGTTCAAATGTTTTAAAATTTTACTCACACGTCTGTAATTATATTGGTTTTGTTCTTTGTTAAACATAAGGTGGATCAGAATAAGTCTTTAGTTTGTTCGTTCATATGAATTCTTTTGGAATTACCTTCTAGACAATGCAATAAACATTGGCATCCTCATTTAATTAAAACCACTGTGCCCAGCAGAAGTATTGAAAATAGCTTTTACCTGGTTCATTTCTGTCGTCATAAAGTCGCCGATGAGAAAATGAATCCGTTTTCCTTTTTCCACACAACAAGTAGCCAACAAGAGTAAGCAATGAGACACCCAGAATAGCACCTAAAATGGCCCCGAATACTATTCCTGTATTTCTATTTTCTACAGGACAAAAAAAATAAAATAAGGAAATATAAAATAATTCTTCAAAGAACTGAAATCTGCACATGTGAACTTTCCATATACCAAAGAATGTTTAACAATTTTAGATTGGATAATGATGTGCTTTGCACTCTCTCTCTCTCTCTTTCTCTCTGTTCGTGTGTGTGTTTTATAATGTACTATTTGGGATATATTAGCAAACATACTTGTTGATAAAACCACGCTTCTGATTTTTAATTACGCTGAAATATTTCTAAGTCTTAGCTTTATAACTAATGGTGTCTGGTTACCTATTAACATCAATAGTACTGAAATGTGGTGTGTATACTCCATTAAGATCTAGTATCAGTGTTGAACTTTAATGATGAAATTAACTTTGCACTTGTTTTTATAAATAATTCAAAGGTTAAAAGCCAATAGGAGTAAATGGATAATAGAAAATGAATTTTTAAAAAACCCCAATAAGAAGTCACTAAAAGGAAACAGTGTATCTGATAGAGGTTGTTTCCAAATACCACAAATAAACCAAAGCAAGATAACTTCACTGACTTGCACATCAAGAACAGTTGTCTATACCTGAGCTAAAGGGAGTTCAAAATTTGACTATTACTCTTTTCACTCAGAATCTTATTTGAAGACTAAGTTTTCAATAAACTAAATGTTCTCTGAACTAAAATTTAGTATATTTTCTCTACTTTTTTTCTTCTCTTTTCTTGAGATACTCATTAATTAGGTAGCCAAAGGGTCTTGCAGGGTCTGCAATTCTATATAAAATCTAATTCCTAAGAAAAATTAATTTTCATTTTGAGGTACAGTAAAATAATTACTAAAATAAAAGAAAAGCAAGTTAACTAAATTTTCTTTACATAATAAAGCAATGGCAGGAATAAGTACTCAGTATTCTCAAGATGTAAATTAGGTTTAGATAGACAAAAGAGAGGAAGTTTGTTTTTTTTTTTTTTGAGACGGAGTTTCGCTCTTGTTACCCAGGCTGGAGTGAGTGCAATGGTGCGATCTTGGCTCACCGCAACCTCCACCTCCTGGGTTCAGGCAATTCTCCTGCCTCAGCCTCCTGAGTAGCTGGGATTACAGGCACGTGCCACCATGCCCAGCTAATTTTTGTATTTTTAGTAGAGATGGGGTTTCACCATGTTGACCAGGATGGTCTCGATTTCTTGACCTCGTGATCCACCCGCCTTGGCCTCCCAAAGTGCTGGGATTACAGGCGTGAGCCACCGCGCCTGGCCAGAGAAGAAGTACTTTTTAAAAAATCTTTCTAATGGCATATCAAAGCATTTATAAATGTCAAGATGTGTTAAAATTATAGCTAAAATAAATCTATACATACAATATGTTGATTATAGTGTTATAAAAAGCCTAGATTTCTGAATCTAAAACTTTTCCTACACACTGGCAACAACATTCAAATAGGAATTTGTATATATGATTTGGTTTTTACATTATTAATATAATCCTTAAGTAAGCCACACTGGAAGTGAGTTCTTGGAGGAAAACAAACTGTTTATTAAAAAGGAATTTCAAGGTTGGGGGGAAATACATTTGACCTAAAAAAAACAAAATAGAAAAAAAGAACACTTAATTATCTTTTTTCATTTTATGGAAAAGCATAAAACCATTTTTATGTTTAAAATGGAAAAGCTAGACATAATCCTTAAATGAAACATAAAAATGTCCACATAATAAATTGTTTGTGATGGTGACAGATAATTTATAAATTTACTTACTTTGCTTGATTTTTTTAACTCATAAACATATATTTTTAAAGTTCAGTTGTACAGTATTCACATGAACATGTGAAATTTCAGGAAGTCTTTTCAAGATTCATTGAAAATTGTTATCCAGTATCTCGAAACTATACCATTGCTTCAGTCTCCATCCTTTCTTGACCTAACCTAACTTCACATTTTTTCCCATTGTCTCCTTACACTCCCATAGAGTAATGACTAGTATATGTTCATTAAAAACCTAAAATCACTTCACTATTTCTAGTAACTATAATGATCATCACTCAAATGTGAGAACATCTGTGCTATTGTATCCTCTTCTGTTTTTCTATCATAGTGTATTCCTTAGACTTAATCTGCCTGACTTATTTGGAGTTTCAATTTCACACAAAAGGAAAGTTAAATCCATTTATATTTACCTTTTTGGGGATCTGATGTATTTGGAAAGAGTTTTGAATTATTGGTGAATTTTAAGGTAGGCTGTAGAGTTGTTTTTTCTTGATAGGGGGTAAACCCAGCAAAGCCATCACTGTTTGTGGTAAGCCATCCACTTGGTTCCACTATCAAGGGGGTCACAGATGTAGAAGCTGGTTCTGAAGAGAGGATGCTAACTGTAATGGAACTGTTATCAGGAGTATTTGTGGTGTCACTGATCAAAGACCATGTGAATTTTTCTGAAGATAGAGCAGGTGTAGCATTGGGATGTGCTGAGAAGGGCAAAGGATCTTCATCTGCTATAGATGCATTCCAAGGCAATTTAGAAACAAAGCTATGGATCAAAGGAGGACTTGTAGAAATGGTGGATGTGGGTTTTACACTGCCGGAAGGATGCTCTGCTGACAAGTTACTGGAGAAATCTGTGATTCCATGACTTTTGTTTGATAGATTCAAAGGAGGGGAATGACTCGCCTTGAGATCTGAGGTGGTTCTATTTTCTTTTTCTGAGTTTAAGTTTGCTTTACCTTCCAAAGAAATAGGTTTATTTTCCATGGTTTTAAAAACTTCTGCAATGCTTTGTGTTGTGCTTTTATCTTGATTTTCTTCTCCATGGCTCCCCGATAGAAGTGAATAAAACAAAGTTGAAATCAACAGAATTTTGGCTAAGATGAACATTTTAGCCTTCTTTGATACTGGGTTTCTTTTTAAAGGAATCTGAAAGAAAAGAATCATCATTTGAATTACTTAATAAAATATTCTGAGTTTTTAGATAATTCTATATATTTTAAAGTGATAAAAGTCTAGACATAATATAGAGATAATAGTATCATATTTTTATTCCAAAATTGCTTACTTTTGATTATGTACTTAAACTAGTGCCACTGAGTACTGCTTTACATGTAATCTTCCTTCCTTCCTTCCTTCCTTCCTTCCTTCTAGGGAAATGCCATGCAAAAACTTTCTCAAGCCATACATATATTTCAAAGATCATTTAGCTTGGGAAAAGTTGGAAGAAAACCATAAACACACACACAGGCACACACACGCACACACACACACACACACACACACACATATATTTAAAACATGTACATAAATTATTAAGTAAAATTTTAAAAATATTATAAATATAGACCATGTAAAGCTGGCTGATTTCATCAAACTATTCAAGAAAATACATTTTTTATAAAGATGTAATTTGAAATATTTATTATGAAAATGACATTACTGATTATACATGAAGTGTACCATATATTAGTTTTTTAAAGTTAGTCAGTTAGGAAAGCCCTTGAATAGACTTTATTAGTATCTAGTTTGAATTTGAATTTGAATGTATCCCTTTTTCACACTTTTCACTTCTTGATGTCCTTCTTGCTACTTAAACCTTAATTGGGGAGATTCAGAAGCCCTCTGGATTTAAGGATACTCTTTAATCTTACTCTCTTATTTTACAAAAGAAGAATATGTTTGGTTTTGTATGTGGAAAAATATACTAGATAATTGTAAATTGGGTCCTGATCTCCAATCCAGGCACACCATTCTGCCTCTTAAGTGTGGAAGTGCCATAATACATAAATAGGATGATATGGGAAGAGGTTTTGAAATCAGATTTATATTAAAATTCTAGTTTTTGTCCCAAAAAACTCATGAAAAATAACCATTATAATAAGCAGTTGCTTTATCATCATTGTAATAACCTAACTTCAGAGTGTCGTTCTGACGACTGAATAGGTTGACATAGGTCACTGAAAAAAAACACTTTAATAGATGCTAACCTCCATTTAATATTTAAATATAATAATATCTCAATAGCATCTTTTCAGTTACGAAGTTTACAGTATCATCTTACTTGATCCTTACAACAATCCCTTGATACGGCAATAATAGATTGTATTATGGCCATTTTACAGATGAAAAAACTGAAGCTCAGAGTGGCTAGTAACAGAAGCTGGTAAATGGAAGAGGCAGTATTCAAAGCCAAGTCAACTGACTCCAATCTCATTCGAGGCTAAAATTTGAAGTGCTTTTAATGGAAAATTTATTTTTTAAAATTTAGACTATTTTTTCTCAAGCAATAAAATCTGTGTGCTGATTTCATTTTCTTTGAATTGAATCTTATTTTTCACTAAAAGCCTCCATGCTGACTGAGAGAGGAAAAGGGAGGATGTGTGACTGTTGTTTCTTACTTCCTGTGTTGTCTGTCATTTCTCAACAGCTCTCTGAAATTTTTACAAATATTTTCAACCTTGTTGATTTTTCATTAGGATCTAAAGAGCTTCTAAACACTCCCCCTAGTTATGTGTTGGTTTTAAGCTGTAAGTCCACTTTTACATAATATATCTCACATATGATATAATTTAAATATATCCATAATACATATAATACTTTAATACATATAATCCTCCATGCCCTATGGTTATCACTTAAGAAAAGTCTACTTGAAAAGCAGGCAGACATATGAGAACATTCATAGTGGCATTATTTATAAGAGCCCCAAACCTAAGTGTTCGTTAGTAACAAATTGGATGATAAATTGTGGTATATTCAGATAGTGAAAATCGACAAGCTAGTGCTGCATGTGACAACATGGATGATAATCACAAACATAATGCACTGCTTAAAACACCAGTTGTATTATGTGATTTCATGTATAAAGTTCAAAAACAGGCAAAAATCTACAATGTTACAGGTCAGGAAAGGGCTTTGTTACCGGAAGTAAACAGATAGAATTGATTGGGTGGAGCATGGAAGGACCTTTTGTGCTGGTGATACTCTATTTCTCAACCTTATTGTGATTACATAGGTGTTTGTATTTGTGATCATTCTGTTTATTTGTATTTCATTCACTTTTCTGTTACAAGTGAGAAAATTAGATTGTATATGCATTTGTTACATCAGCTGCTTTACATGTTTTTTATTTAATGCTAACCAAAAATAAACAAATGATGAAGACGGGCCTGTTAATCACACTTTACAGATGATTAAGTGTTGCATAAATAATATAAGTAATGTATGCAAGGACATGCAGCTAGGAACTGAGAGGTAGGGTCGGGATTCAAACCTTGACATGTCTGATTTAAAGTTAGTCAGTACTCTGCCGGGTGCGGTGGCTCAAGCCTGTAATCCCAGCACTTTGGGAGGCCGAGGTGGGTGGATCACGAGGTCAAGAGATCAAGACCATCCTGGTCAACATGGTGAAACCCCATCTCTACTAAAAATACAAAAAATTAGCTGGGCATGGTGGCATGTGCCTGTAATCCCAGCTACTTGGGAGGCTGAGTCAGGAGAATTGCCTGAACCCAGGAGGAGGAGGTTGCAGTGAGCCGAGATTGTGCCATTGCACTCCAGCCTGGGCAACAAGAGTGAAACTTCGTCTCAAAAAAAAAAAAAAAAAAAAAAAGTCAGTACTCATCTTTCTAATGTAAGTTACAAAGGAATATAGAATTTGGTACACAATTGCATTTTAGAACTTCTCCCTATCATTTGTTTTTTTAGTACAGCCTTCCAAATTTAATTATTTTAACAAGAGCAGTTTATAATTCCATTTTTTAAAAACACTGAAAATATAGGGCTTTCTATATTCAAAGTATCCATTAAATCCACTAAATATGGTTTTGCTCTAATTTAAGAAAGTCATAACAACTATTAAGGTTTCTAGATGGACATTTTACCATGGAGTTTAAAGATTAGCATTTACAAAGCGTGAATGATTATCTCTGGCACCTATAGTTCACCAACATTTACTTAAACTGATGCCTCACCTAGCAAGTTAAAAATATAATTTGGTTTAGTTTAAAAATAGTTTTATGTGCCATTTCAGAAACATCTCTCTCCTCTGTACTCTGCAAAGGTCACAGCAAACATAACGGTTCTTTTCATTATCTACTACAAGTGATCTAATTCATGAATTGTTCTTGGCTACTCTTTTCAACATTATTATATCATTTGATTTGTTTTCTCTGTACCTAGGTGTTTTGCTATTTTCTCTTCCTAGTAAAGTGGTCACTTCTTATGCGGGTAGAGTGGGGAGAATGTCCTTAACTGTTCTTCTAGTTTTCTTTTAATATTACATGGTAGACATGGCATTGAGTTTTCATTCCCTACCTGTAATGAAAATCTACATATCATTAGTCAATAAAGTGAATTCTCTTGTTCCTGTTTCACCTTTCCTGTAACATTGAACCATCAAGGGGATCTCTCCTTCCTTACCCAGCTTTTTATTGTAACTTTAAAATCTAGGGTATCAATACCACAACACATGCCAAGCAGTCTGTTACTGCCTATAATTTATCTCCTGGGAAAAGGAGAGAAAGGGAAGAGAGGGGTAGTTCAGTATGTTGTGAATACTATTAAATATTTCAGCTTATTCAGAAATTAATACAGCTACAGATAAGGCTTTTGTGAAGACAGTTTGTCTTGACATTGCTGTGGGGAACAAGTTTGCCTCTGCTACCTGGCTTCTAGGAAAGCCAGGTTACACCACTTACTCAGTTCCCTTTCATCTAAAAGTTGTAGAAGCAGCCAGGAATGGAAATTATTCGCTATTTAGAACCCTGCCATGAAATTTTGCTGGGGCATGGTCCAGGAGATTAGGCTTAAGTTTGACCTCATGCCAAATTGAACAAAGCACATTGCAAGCAACGAAAGCCTAATGGAGGTGGGGCAGCAACTCCAGAGGGCAACAAATATATAGTGCTTTCCTTTTAGCCTCTTTCCATCTCTGGAGTTCAAATATCTAACTCCATGTTATATACTTGTTTGATAAAGCTGAAAGGATGATGGATTACATATGGTGTACCTTGGTGTACCTTAATGTACCGAAGTTCGTCTGTCAGCCAGGTGCACTGTGGGGGCAGACAGAAGGTGAGATGAAAGAAAAGTAGAATTGCAGAGGGAGAGAAATCAGAAGAACCAGGTAACATGATTTCACCTCCTGATCTTTGCCTCTTTTTGCACCTGGGTGGTAGCTCCTAAGAGGAATTTTAATGGTATAAAATAGGAACAGGGTTAGGATCATCATAAACTTGAAAAACTTCTAATGGTAGAATTACTATAAAGTGAACAGAGAAAGCAAAGAGGATTTCCAGTTCCTTTGTGATATTTTAAGTACAGATTCTAAACTTTCCTGTACATATTAAAATATTTTTATTGTTTCTAAAATTTAGCTGGTTTTAAAATATTCTATCATAGTGTCACTGTTTTTAAACAACTCCTCTACACAGGGAGAGTGAACACAACTTTCGCTTCTTTGTTATTGGCACTGGAAGGTGGTTTCACATTACTACCTTTGTGTGAAGGGCTGCAGAAAGTGATGAGAAAAAATAAAAACAAAAAACACCTCTGGTCAGTAAGGGAAGCAAACCCGCATTCACTGTCCATATTTTTGCTTCCTCTTAAATCAGAAAGTCATTATTCTGTCCAGCCTCTCTGTTGAAAGTAAGTCATACTTATTTTTATACCAAGCTTTGGAAAGAAGAAGATGTCCTGGTTTATGTCAGGTAATTAACCTATGTAAGGGCAAAGAAATGCTATTCATTCTAAATAGAATCAAAATCAGAAATCCTAAATGGAATTATCAGTTCAGGTACACAGCAGGCATAGTATAAAAACATATTTCTATTATAAAGTCACTAATGAGTATACATTGGGCTTCCTTTTCTCCAAGTTGCATTTGATCATTTCTTCTTACAGATCTTAGGCTACAAATCAAGACAGATGTGTTTTGTTTGTCTGTCAAAGAAAACTCTGTCTGCCATATAGCTATCATCTCAGGAAGAACTTGAGTGTTACTCTGTTTTTTCCAATCTTGTACAATATTTTAATTTTTCTAAATGCAATAATAAATGAGGACATAAGACATGCTTCTAAAAATGCCTCTTTTATGAGGGGTTTTGGAAGGGTAACCAACTGGAAAAAGGATTGTGCCTGAGAAACTTAGTCCTCTTATTTTGCTTTTATTTGTCATAAAAATAAACAAAAAAGAAAAGAATGGCTTTCTTCCAAGAAAAAACAAATTTCAGAAGTCTGAGAATATTGTGGTTAAAAGGCTACAGAGAAACAGGAAAAATACACAGTTTGTCATACTACCTGCTACCTTGGGAGTTTTCAATAATAAACTTCAGTACTTAAACAATTAGTGACAACATCAAGCTTAGAAAGAAAATGTGTCTCTGAAAGAAATATTCTAGATAAAAATTTTCAAGCATAGGCTTTCCAGCCTTCTATATCCTATTTCACTGTCTATAGGAATAGCCTCTACAGATTAAATAGAAAGTGAATAAATGGAAATCAGCATTCCTTTAATAAAAAAAGGGTCTTATGTAACCACAAAATGAAAATAATTTTAAGAAACTTTACCACATTTTCGTTTCACGGGACGTTTTTTGTAGTAACTGATGTTAACCTTTTAGATTTCCAATGTGAGTAAGACCTGTACACATATTATGCTAAATAATTATATGTACTATAAAACAGTTTGCCAACTTTTAAATTAAGAAAACCTTTGACAAAGATGTATAAAAGCTTCTAATCTATTTTATTAGAAGATTTTTTTCCAGAATTATTACAATACTTAAAGCAAAAATCTCTAATACTTAAAGTTAAAAACCTTTCAGCACAAATGCATAATTTAAATCTAAGATTCAATTTATATTCATGCTGCCACTTCACTTTAAACATTTTGAAACCTGTACTAAGATCTGTCTTAAGGAAATTCTATTTCATAATCACATATATTTTAAATAAGGCTTTTATTTAACTCTTCTGCTGGTTCTGTAACATAACAAATTTGGCAGTAATTTTTAAAGCTAACTCATTTAAGAGTGCAAATACTCCTTTGGAAGGTAATTACTTAATAAAACAACTACTTGTCTTTACAAGGATTGCCATAGCTACTTGCCAGGCTGTTCTGTGGAAAGTTGAGACCACTGTGATTCTCTTAGGTAAATAATGGAAAAAGAGAGAGTAGAGAGAGACCGACCTAAGTAACCCAGCACACACTTACCTTCAGGTCTAGGAGGTATTTACAATCAGGAACTGAAATACCACAGTTGTCCTGTCTGAAATGAATTCTGTCGTGCATTAGAGGAAACAGATGGGTTAAGTGTGACAGTGTGGCACTGAGCAACAGAGTGCCAGGGAAACAAAATTAGGTGGGGCTGGCTGTATCTTGCTTGTGTTACAGAGCGCCCAGGAACCTGACTGACCTGCTTCTCAGCTGTAAGCATTAAGATATCACCTCATTCAGGCCTTTAACAACAACAACAAAAGCCCAACCCTCCAATTTTCATAGGTTGATCATTTTAACTCTGGGGCAAGGGAGAACTCTCATCAGCGATAGCAAAAAACGAAGCATCCATTTTTTTTTCTTCTAAGTTTAAAAAGGAGAAAGATTTTGGCAAAATCATCTGGTGTACCAGGAATTTATGACATGTGCTCATTCCCCTCCTTCTTGCAGGTGAGGAAAGCAAACAAGTCATTCCCTGCACTTGTTGCTCTATGCCAGCCCCACATTCTCCTAAATTATAAACAATTTTTCTGTACTCTAGTAAGTTGCCCTATTTGTAGACTTAAAGCCTAAGTAGAGAAAATGTAGCGGGGTCAGCAGTGAGTCATCTATTCTGAGGTACACTGAAATTGGGTTTTTGGAAAGTCCTACCTAACACAAGTGAATTAGTATATATTGGGGTCCCTGAGAAAGTGGTGAGGTGTTAACATTAAAAATAATCATCATGACTGAGATTTGGTTTCTTTCTGACCTTCAGGAGTTTGGAGAGGAACTGGGGCCTGAGAATGGCCATGTGATCCCCACTTTTCCTGGGAGCCTTCTCGATTAAGTAGTTTCCACCCTGTGCTCTCTCTGCTTTTACTCTCATTTTACAGGCTGGAGAGTTTCAGAAGTGCCCAGGTAATGCTTGATTAAGTACTAGAGTTGAATAACAACTTGGCATACTTCCTACACTTCCTTTCAGGGATTATGAAAGGGAGAAGAGTGAAACTGGGATCTTCTGCACATCAGCATTTGGGGATGGCGCCAAGTTCCGTTCAGCTCAATGTGCCTGAGGTTCTTACTTGGCTTCTGTTGCACAAGGAGATAGGTTTTCAACTGCTGAGTGAGAAAATGAAACTTTAGCTAAAATGCAAGAGCTAGTAAGCTTAGATGGAATGCAAAGAATCTGCCCAGTTAATTGACCCCAGGAAAGAACAAGGTAATTCTGTAGTTTTAAATTTTCTAAAGCCCAAAGGCCCCTTCAGAGTTCGATTAGAAATTAAACCAATCCCTAAAAAATATTGTCTCAGAAGATATCTAAGCTGTCTCTGCTGCGTTATAAGAAAAGCAGTTTAAATTTAATCAAACAGCTAGTGACCAAACAGTGGCTTAATAGAATTCAATGGTTTATTTTCAGATAAGCCACTTTTTAGGGAACAATCCAACTAAATCTATTTATGTTTGTAGTTAGAGAACTGAACATAATTGGGTGGACTGGGTGCCCCTTTTCCCTAGGCATTTTCCTCAGTATGTGTGGGAATGTCATTATTCTCTTCTGCCTTAACTGTAATAATTATGGCTTACACCAGGCATAAACTTTGCGATGCACTTTTGCTACAGCTCTCCGTTTTCACTGCCATAAAAGTCAGGCGAATTTCTCATCTTGCTTTTTCCTGAAGACGCTTGCTGTGGGCTCAGACTCCTATTCATTATTGCCCTCCTTACAAGCATAATCAGTTGATTAGAACTCACCCTATAGATAAACGTTATCCACCCTCACTGCCTTGACGACATCTGGAAATAAAGTTATAAAATGTAAACTGTGCATATATTTAATGCCTCAATTGTTACTTAGCTCATTAAGTTGTTTTTAGTAACTTTTGTTTACTCACCGGAGTTGGAGTTAAAAAGTAATTTCTACCCAGACAAACAAGTTTCACTGAGGTACAGTTCCAGATTCTAGGTAAGACCAATCCTACTTTAGACCTTTCTCCAGAGAAACTCCACAATAAGGGATAATTACCTGCATTTTCATCAGCAAAAACAGCTGAGATGACACATTGTGCAATACCTGTATAATTTTTTTCAGTACTTACCCACTATGGTACCTTTCATCTGGCACTCACCAACTGCTTTACACTCATTAAGTTTCACAATACATACTGGGAGGAAACCTGTTCCTAGTCTGTAACCTCTTCCTAGTCTGAAATGGTAGAACCACTCACAAGTGGAGTTTCCAGAACATGAATACACATTAATATCACTAGAGGATCTGAATACAAAACCAGACATAGCTTGGGACCACATCTCAAGTGAAATGAAAACATTGTTTTGGATCAAAAAGAGTATCTTTTTGTACAAACCCTATAGCATCACCCTATGATGCCGATGTCACATTTAGGGAATTCACATTGATCAAATTCACTGATAGCTCATTGAGTCTGATACAGGCTACAAATGGAATTCATGTTTATTTCCCCATAGGGACATCAGTACTTTAAGCAAAAAAGAAATATTTGAATAATAGAAAAATAAATTACATTGAGAATGTATTATTTGAGAGTATTTTAATGATATTCTTGATAAATAAAATATAATTTAATGGCTGGGAAATGTATTTGGGAATAATAACATTTCGTTTATTTCAGTATTCTATTAGAATAGAAATGAAAGGATTATTCTCATAACTGCTAGTAGTTATCATTCAAGTTTATCTTTTTTGTTAAGTAATATGGTGTTATAATATGATCTTCTTCAGTTAACTATAATGTTTTGGAAAGCTCAAATGTTCCATTTTGGGATTAAGGAAATTCTAGGACAATGCCCTTGGTTAAATAGAGGTTATGATATTATATATACACATATGTACATATACATACTTGCATGCATACATACATAAATGGTGAGCCAAAGAAAATTCCAAACCTGGTCAATCAACTAAAGATAACTTTAAAGGATAGATGCCTGTATGATTTTTGGCATTTAATTTGGCCATAATTCAAAGAATTGAATGATATGACTACAGAAAAATGTTGCATTTCTATCTATAACAGTGGACATGTTTTCTTAGTAAATACTCTGAAACATTATAAAATACATAATTAAAAATTCCATATTATGCCAATATAAAATACCAATTGAAAAACAAACACAAACCCTCTTGATATCCTTAAGAATATGTTTCTAACAAAGTCTTAGATTTTGTGTTTAATATTCATTACAATTTGAAATAATTATATTATTTTATTACTTCTGATAATTACTCAATTCCAATAGATTTTTAAGATAAGAGCCTAATGGTCACAAGAAATTTTAAAAATTTTAAACATTTCTATATTCATTTAAAAATTATTTTAGAGTAGTATGACAAGATAACACTTTCAAACATAAATATATATTAGAAATATTTTGAGTAGAAATTGAATGGAGATAGATTTAAAGATAAAAATGGAACAATTTAAATATTGCAACAGATAAGTGCTTTTTAAAAGTATATTTTTAAAGAGATATAATTAGGTATAAAATACTGGTATAAATTTAAAATGTTCCTTTCATAAAGCACTATAAATTTTAACCTTTATAACTATTTAAATGTATAATGGAAAAGAATATTGAACAAGGAGATAAAATTTTCACAAAATTATTTTAGTGATTACACAATCATTTTCAAAACCACTGACATAATGCAGCTATGCAGCAGAGAATTAAATCAGACATTTTCAATAATTTCTAAGCTATTAAATTCAGAGAAATAAATCAGAGATTCTTGATAATTTCTAAATGTTCAATAATTTCTAATAATACTTTAAACTGTTCAGAGGTTTAAAATATTGCATTGCATATTTTTCTGTACTATTTAGGGTCTCACATAGTGTCCACTGTATCTTTTTATCTTCCCTTCCAGTTCTATCTAAACAAAAATGAAAAAGGTAGAGGGAGGGTAGTGTTGTTACAAGATGATGGGAATATTAAAAAAACAAACACTGCTTTCTTCTGAATGTCTCTTTTGCTGACATGATCATATGCCACACATGTTAGTAGGATTCTGGGGCTCTGTCTCTGGCTAGGTTTTCCAGATTTATAATCACCAAGGGATCAGTGTGCAGAGTAGAACAAGCTCAGGTTACCAAGTCACAGTTTCTTTGTTGAATCCTGGTTTTGCCACTTCATGGTTTCATAACCTTGGGTAATTGCCATCACATTTCCAGGAATTTTTTCTCATTTGTACAATAAAGAGAGTGGCGTTACCTCTTAGTTATGTGTGGGGAGTCAAGTTAGAATAGATAAAATAATTGTGTGTTATTTGACACTTAGTAGTCAAACTCAATTAGACTTCGTTAATTATAAATATAATAATTTTTATTTGGAGATGATAAAAATTGAAGCTTCAGTATTAGCCTTAATAAATGTTGAGAGGAATCCAACGAAGTGTACAAACACACATTAAATTATTTCGAATTTGCATCTCTCAGCACATTGTAGTTGCTCAAGAAATATTAATTTCATGAAAAATGAATGAGTGAAGTCTTTATTTTTAACTGAATTTTTCTCCACCAGAGAGCCTTTCTCTGATCACACTTTTTAAATGCCGGATATACATGAAGGGGGAATGGAAGCAGCAAACCACCTTGTTATGTATGTACCTATGCAACAACCCGGCATGATCTGCACATGTACCCCAGAAGCTAAAGTACAATTAAAAAAAATGAAAAAAACCCTGAAACCCTTTTTTCCTGACCTATCCTAACTCCTCTCTGCTGTATTTTCTTCATAGCACTTATTGCCATCTAACATACTGTGTATCTTATTTATGTAGGTGTTTCTCATCTAGTCACATACTAGAAAATTCAGCTCATGACAGTTTGCATTTTCGTCTGTTTTCTTCATTGCTTTATTCACAGGGTTAGACTAATGCCTGGCACAGAGCAAATGCTGGATAAGTTTATAAGTAAAAGAATAAATGAGTGAATTGATAAATGACTGAATAAATATCAATATACTTGTCAATCATAATAACAAAAATTATAGTATTCATGAGACATCTATAAGTTTCTTTTTTCTTCTGCTTAGAATATTTTTCTCATCGGCCCATTAAGATCTGAAGCTTGACTTTTTTTTTCACTTAAGAACATTCCTTGGCCACATTTATGATTGTGCATATAGATCCTTGAGCAGTTTTCTTTGGTAGGTGATTAATAATAGGAGCTATTTCACAAGAAGAGTTGGCCTTCACTAGAGATTCAGAAATCTTCTAACAGGTAAGACTAGAGGATATGGGATCAAGGATAGATAAGTGGGTAAATACAGTTTTGGTGTTTGTCATTTAGACGGAAAAATTGTCAACTGAGAGTGATGCAAGTATAGGTGTTGGATATTTTTTTAAAAGAAGAGAGAAAGTGGCCAGGTGTGGTTGCTCATGCTTGTAATCCCAGCACTTTGGGTGGCTGAGGCAAGTGGATCACCTGAGGTAGGAGTTCAAGACCAGCCTGGTCAACATGGTGAAACAAGATTTCTAGTAAAAATGCAAAAAAATTAGCTGGGCATGGTGGTGGGCACCTGTAATCCAAGCTACTTGGGAGCCTGAGTCAAGAGAATGGCTTGAACCTTGGAGGTGGAGGTTGCAGTGAAGCCAAGATTGTGCCATTACACACCAGTCTGGGCAACAAGAGCAAGACTCCGTCTCAAAAACAAAAATGAGAAAGAGAAAGTATGACAGCACGACAGCCTCCAGGATCTACCCAAAGTTAGTAATCGAAACAATTCACTCAGCATAGATGTGCTTTTCTCCAGCTATGTTAATGTGCATAAGTACAAATAGATAATAGATGGAGTGTTGGGTTTAACTAGCGTTATGTTTAAACATGGGCTTAGAA